ATTGACATATTTTATCCCAGAGGGTGGTAGAATTTCTATACCATAAAATATGTTCTACAGATTTCTCTCCGTGTATTAATGGAAAATACAACAGTTTCAAGAATGACCGAAGACAAGGCCAAAAAATAACAACCAATATAGATACACATCATTATGTAATGTCTGTTAGTATCCTAGAAGAAGGTCGATTGTGGATTTCATTATATGTATAACTACCAAAAGCCACAAGAGATGAATATCGCTTATAATCAGTGAATTAAAACCAAATGGATGTAACAAATTAGATAAGCTTGTATATTTTATATCTACATCGCCGTATTGTGTTCTAGATCGTAACTTGAACATTATCTAAAAACCTATTAGCAATAATTATATGAAGTTTTCGGATCCTTCTCTTGAAGGTTGCGAAATTGTAAGGTGAATTTATGCACACCACTTTTTCATTAATCTGTTGCTTTCAACACTAATTTCGTCGCACCCCAAAATTTTGCCTCTGTTGAAATATGATTAACTTTTTTCTGCTTTGAACGATTTGAATTCGGATCACATTATTCGCTAGCCCAGTCCTTCAACTATAATCTCGTAATTTTTTGAAACATGAGGTTCTTCACATGAAATCGCTACAGTGTGTTACCTGAAACTGTGCGAAATTTCGGAAGTATCCCAAATGAAGAAAAACCCTTTTTTTTTTTCAAATTTGACAGTAGAGGCATGTAGATGATCTCATTATCTTGGGATAGTTCTCGAATTGTCTCCTTATCTCTTTTATTAACAGGGTGATCTCAAAAAATCGACAAATCGAAACTGGCTGAACATATTCTTACTGATGATGGACAACATATGGCAGAGTGGACTAATATTGAAATCATTGGAAAATAAGAATACAACCAGAAGAGAAACATCAAGGAATCTGATTGCATTCTTCAGAACGGAGACAATAACATTGCTTCCTGTTCAGTTGATATAGGTAGAACATGGTATTCACTATTGAAATCTGAAAATGATAATGCTCAATTCAAGATTAATTGATGAAAACATTCTGTAACTCATTTGATTGCCAACGTCACCAATTGTCCCTTAGAACTGAAAAGTGTTAGGACAAATACGAATTTGCGACACAGAAAAATCCATTTTTCATGTTGAAAACGGGAGCAGATTCGTTTCCGAAACGTCCAAAGCTAGATAAAAATTGATATTTTTCTATATACCTTCATTTCTCTTTTCCAAACTTTTTTCAAGTGACATTGTAGGGCAAATCATCTGATTTGTCCTTACTATACGTATATTGAAATAATTTTCATTTTACAAGGAACGAGGAGAGACAATCCCAAAAAATCTGGAATAATGATTGAACCTCCTCCTCGATTGACCTACAGACTGTATTTTAGAAAATACTTGCGAGACTTTTCGTGGCGTAGAATTCAACTAGGTTGTTAGTTACCCAGGCTGTGATTTTAGCAAGATCTTCAATGACAGCGTTGACCTGTCTTCGTTGAAGTTCTCAGTGTCCTTGTCAGAAATAGGTATTCTGGAAGAGAACGCAGTATGGAGAGTACTATCATCTGCAAAGTTGTGGATGAATAACGGATTCCAAATGACCCCAAAGGGAAAAATCATTAGGTGCCAAATCCGGCAAGCGTGCAGGCCATTCTATTTGTCCTCTACGACTAATATATGTATTTGTTGAATTGAATGATTTGCAATAATGTATATGATGACCCTTGATTATACCCTATTCAAACTATGAGGGGAATTGATAGGATTGAAGTATGTATTCTGACTTCGACTTCGAATTCAAACGAACTTGTTTTGCTGTTCTTTGTTAAATCATTTCACTGAGAGTTTTCGAGGGTGGATATAGTCTCAAGTGGACTACCCGGTATATTGCACTGAGGTAAATTGAATAAATTAGGAATGTAGATGATATTGGTGGTTCGTTCAACATAATTATTATGCCCCAGTTTATGGAAATATGGAAATATGTGTATTCTCTGAACTGTGATTATGCGACGAATATATACAGGGTGATTCATGAGGAGACTCACATAGACAAAAATGATGAATAGGAAAAGTCAAGACGCGCTGATGTTTATACATTGTGTCCCATAAGTCATGGATAAAAAGAAGTGGGGGGTAGGGAGGTTCATTTCCAATCAAACTAACCGTATATGTGGTTAACTAAGTGTTGATGGTCCAAAAGTTATCAATTACTTTTTATATCTATAAAAAAATTCATTACAATAAAACTGTAACATTTGTGATTTTTTTTACAAATTTCATCCGCATGGATGCACCTTTTCCCAGAAATAGTTTTATGACCGGTGTTACTTCGTTTCAATAACCTATAGGAATTAGGAAACATGTTGCTCTTTTCCAACCGACTCAAAAAAGGTCTATAATTTTGATAACAAAATAAACTCTCGAATCGACGTTTCTATTACTGACACAAACATAGGTATGTATAGCTAGGCAACACATCTAGCTCATCCTATAGGAGCCAAAGTGGAACTTCAGCTCCTAGGAACTAAAAAGAATGAACAACATTGTTACGGTTGGTTATATGGGTTTGGACGCATACCTGATTTGTTTCCGATTTTGGCAGATTTGGCATTTCATACCCATGCTGGAGATTTAAATACACCATATTATAGTCAAATATTTTTGTTTTGATCAGGAAAGCCTTCAAGATTCACATACTTGCTTGATCTGTATCTTATTCGTTTTTCTCGGGATGGATAACTTGTTTTTGAATAATCACGGCCAGCAATAGTTTTTTGCCTCAAACAACGATATTGTTTACCTCCATTCGATTATCGAGCCACTCACAGTGGAGTATGGGGAGAAATAAATAATCGCTATTATTATTGTTAGTATACTTAACTAACCTTACTTTTTCCACGTCTTTTTCCTATACCTGGCGTAACGCACTGGCGCGGTATTTTCTATTAGAGCACATGATCCATACACAAATATGTCACTCTGTGGTTGTAATGATATTGAAACAACTATTCATACATCCTCGAAAATTGGTGTAAATTGTTCATGTTATAAGAAATACTGATACCTCTATCTGAAAGTGTGAATTTTGGAACAAGGTACAACAGATGATAGGTTCAACATCAGTGATATCAGAAAAAACGAGCACTGAGGGACAAACATTTGCATATAAGGCGTATCTCGAAGGTTATATCATTTCATAGTTCAAGTTACAGTTATAATTATTTCTAGTTGATGCCCCAGTGACATTTTCAAATTTACTGTTGTAGGTGTTACCGATATTACTCGATGATGAAGTGGTGACACAATAGTTAGAATTAAATTTTTTCAATGGTTTTTCAACACAGCGTAGGTGAACAGTGATTCATTTTATAATGATTTATACCCCGAACGCTTGTCGAAAACATTTAGTTTCGCAATCATGTGCCATTTTTCTAAAAAAAAACATAATGATATTCAATTATTCATATATCTGCCCAACGCGTTACAATTCCTTTGAATTGTGGCAGTCAATTTCAGCTGTTACCACTTTGATGATGTCATATTTGTTTCAATGTCCATCATTAAAATGATTTCATAAATAACATACACACCTGTATGATGGCAGACATTGTACTAGGTGTGTACAATTTCTTGGTATTCCGAAGAACAAAGATGTTGAGTGAAATACTTTTCATGACAAAAATTATTTACGTTGAAACATATAAAAAACTAGGAAAAATACAAATTAGCGGCCCGTGCATGAGTGTAGACTTTGGACTCAATATAGATGTAGACTTCGGACTCAATATCTCAATAACTATGAAGGGAATATCGAAAAACCGATATTAATATTACGGGTTCGATGTTAGAGAAACCTCAAATGGCAAAATTGGAATTTTGATATCTTCATTCGCTTCAGAGATACAGGGAGAAATTGAAAAATCTGTTGGCATCATTGGACTTTCTATACTGGGTGATAGTGAAAAGGTAAACGACAGCCCGTATATATTGGCAAGTAGGATCATCTCCAGTTATAACACTGGAGTATATTCAAAAACTCCACAAACGATAAGATTTCCACAAAATTCTCAAACACACGACATGTTTCAATAACACAGTAGCTTCGTCAGATGATAAACTGGTACCATGAACTAACCTTGTCTTGCTTAACTTTTATTTGTCCTATTTTCCCATCCTGAAGGATCAGTTACCTTTGGACAGGTTCGATAAACCTTCATTTTCGGAAATTAGGCATAATATCTACATTGAAATTCGATGTACCGGATTACCTTGACAGGGTTGATAGTGAATACATAATATTTTAACCTACTATAAGAAAACAAATTCAACAATGATGAACCATTGATGTCTGATTGAGTAAGTAAGTAAGTAAAATTTCAGAATTCCTGAGTTTGTTGATTTCCAATGATTCAAAATGATTGAGTTTCATTTCTTTATTTTCTACGCGTAAAATTTCGGAATTATCACCAAAACCTCGACCAAAACTATGGTTTTCTCCTGATATATGGTTCGCGTATATTGAATGTGTTTTCTTTTTCAAGAAATTCATCTTATGTTCATGAATGCGCTGAATAAACTTACGACCTGTCTGACCAATATATATAGGACAAGATCCAGAGTTGGGTTTTTATACCCGTGATTTTTCTAATTTAGAAGTGTTGTCTTTATAATTTTTGATAAACCTTTCCAACGTGTTACCTATTTGTTCTATTATACTACTTTTAAGTTCTGTTTATATGTAGAAATGAAGCTGATTTTGCAGATGTTCAGAATCAGGTTGAAGTTCTATTATTTTGATCATTATTCTTGATGGTGGGAAGAACTTCTTGAATAGCTTTATTATAAAGAAAAAAAAAAGGGAAAACTTCACACTCCCACACGCGGGAGGAAATCGATACCATTGCTCCCTTGATATATAAATACCTATCACTGTTTTTCTTCATATAGCTCGACTCCATTCAATTGAAGGATGCAATAGAATGAAGTTGATCTGAAATCGGTTCTATTTTTTCAGGTTCCACCGCTGACAATATCCTAGGTGTCTCCGAGATCACAGAACTCAATTCGCTATGGAAAATGCTGGTGGCAGAATGTCTGGGAACGCTCTTCCTAGTTGTAATAGGCTGTGGTTCTTGCATCGCCCTGAAACAGCCAGCTGAATACGTCAATTATGTCCAAGTGGCGTTAGCGTTTGGTTTAACAGTGGCAACAATGGCACAGGTATATAAGTCATCTTCTGAGCTCTATATCATGGTGTAATTGGGCCTTATTACCATTCAATCCATTCATTCAGTCCGGCCCAGCTTCGCACGGTTGGTGTGAGCATTTAAAGAAATTATGACATTTGTTGTAGTTGTTTAAATATTCCATGATTGACAAATCATAAACAACATTGAAAAGGCACTACACTAAAGCTGAAATAAACATCAGCTTGATAAAAATTCATCCAATGTGGGTATTGTGGGGATATACTGAATTTGGGACTGATGATAATCTATTCTAGGTATCTATAATATTTCACGAAAAAGTTCTCAATTTCACCTTCTTTTTCCTCATTCTGTATTCGGATATACGCATTCACTGATTTACAGTTACTTGCTCTTCTTATTTTGTCATTGAGCACACTTTATACACTCATGAAGTACTTCAATGACACATTTTATATAGCAGAATCAAGAGATATGATTTTTTGGAAGTTATTCATATTCACTGATTAATCATACCAGCTGACAGCCATTTAATTCCAATGACAATGTATATTCTCAGATATATTCATGAACACAAAAAAAATGGATAGAGATATATATATATATACAGTGTCATTCATAAAAAGTCGGCATCATATGGGAAAAACTTTTATTAATGTCTTATTTTGGAATTCGAGTTGGACGTTAAGTTTTGCTTCAAAAAAGATGAAAAATGGCCTACTCAATCGGGGTCACGTGACTTTCGCTACATGTCAAAAGTGACATTTTCTAAAATTAATCGCTGAAAGTAGGTTTATTATTCCAAATTTTTTGGGATTTTCTCTCCTCGTTTGTATAAAATAAAAATATGAATATTATTTCGATATACGTGTAGTAAGGAAAAATCAGATGATTTGCCCCAAAATGTCACTGCGTTTAAAGAATTTTCCTATCAGAGAGCCTAAAAGAATAATTCACGTATATTGAAATATGAATATTCATATTTTTATTTTATAGAAACGAGGAGAGAAAATCCCAAAAAAGTTGGAATAATGAATATACCACCTCCTCGATTAACCTACACAGACAGTATTTAGAAAGTAGGTTTATTTGTTCGAATATCGAAAAAGTTCACTTGAAAAAGTTGTTTCTATTCCAATTTTACACATGCCATGCTACCTACTTTCAATTACTTATTATCACTGATTATGGACAGAAATATGATTTTCTTCAGAAAATGATAATACCCGCTTCCAAATTCTGTTATGTTTGATGCAAAGTATTGATATATCGTCAAGCATATAGAAACGAAATTCATTTAAACTGATCTTTTCAGTACTGAAAAAATTAATTTAAATGAATTTCGTTTCTAAATACTTGACTCAAACATAACAGAATTTTGATGTTATGTTTGCATCAAACATAACAGAATTTTGAAGCAGAGATTATCATTTTCTGAAGAAAATCGTATTTTTGTCGATAATTAGTGATAATTAGTAATTGAAAGTTAGTAACATGATGAAGCTACTGGTATGAAGTAGTTTTGTTTATTCACAATTTTTTTAATATCACAGAAATTTCGAAAATTTTTAAAAAATATCGAAATCTAAAAAATGTAATAAAAAGATAAAATCCGAGTCATCCATAATCAGTGATAATGTAATTGAAAGTAGGTACCATGAAAAAGCTACTGGTATGAAGTAGTTTCGTGGAATTAACAATTCTTCAAATATTACAGAAACGAAAAATTTAAAAAAAAAATCAAAATCTAAAAGTTGCAATAGAAACATTAAATTCGGGAAGCATGTGTAAAATTCGAATAGAAACAACTTTTTCAAGTAAACTTTTCCGATATTCGAACAAATAAGCCTACTTTCAGCAATTAATTTGAAAAAATGTCACTTTTGACATGTAGCGAAAGTCACGTGACCCCGATTGAGTAGGCCATTTTTCATCTTTTTTGAAGCACAAATCAAAGTCCAACTCGAATTTCAAAATAAGTCATTAGTAAAAGTTTTTCCCATATGATGCCGACTTTATGAATGACACTGTATAAAGAAATATAATGAGAATTCGCATTCTCCATGTGATGAAAATATCATTTTTTTCCCGATTCATTCAACAGAAAACAACTACTTCCATGACCATATGCCACGACGAATATTGAATTACATCTATTGAACAGACACGATAAGAATTTGAAAACAAAATCTCCTGAAGTAGAGAATTTGCATTCTCATTCATATAAAGATATGCATATGATGTCATTCTGAATATTCAACAGAAAACAACTACTTTCGTGGGTATTTGCCACGTCGAACATTGAATTAAATTTGTTGAATATCGCCAAAGAGAGAGCATGAAAAATCAAAATCCTCTGAAATTGAGAATTGACATCTCTCAAACCGAATAGAATAATATGATGTATTGTGATATAAGAATATAACTTACCATTTTTTTCGTGTTCATAAATATATATCTGAGAATATTCCTTTTCAATACTCTAGCCCAATCAAGTGGTTCAAACTTGGACGATGGAAACTTGTTATTTTCATAGATCTCAATCGCAGATTCGTGATTAGGTTTTCTCAATTCAGAATTTCTTTCCACGTCTTGTATGATGAATATCAATTCATCATGCATCCAAAAACATTTTTCTACATTGATGCATAAAGCAGAACTTTATTGAACTATATTCAGTGGAAAAAGAAGTTCTTATTGCACTTAGTGCCAACTCATGCAGCAGACTAGCTTTTTTTCCACAAATCGTTCTGTTGAATGTACAAAGTTTGAATAATGACGCAATCAATCAGTTGGAAATTGACTTCAGTAAAGATACTTCATTTCTATGTCTTACTGAAACACATGCAAAAGTAGATACCATCTACACAAAAAGCATAAATGGTTTTGAACTGAGCAGCTCCTTCTGTAGAACCCTACATGATAAAGGTGGCGTAGCTATATACTCTAGAGTCGGACTGAAATGTAAAAAGATAGAACTAAATAAATATTGTATTGAAAAACACTTTGAGATTTGCGGTGTTTCTTACAAATCAGACGACAGCACTGCTACCATGATTTTCACTTGCTATAGATCTCCGTGTGGTGATCCAAACATATTCTTCGAAACTATCCAGAAGGTTTTTGACGAGTTTTATAAACCTTATGTAAATATTATTTTAACTGGTGACATCAATATAGATTCTACCATTGACTCAAGGGATTCCTATAAAATTAGTAAACTCAAAGATATTTTGTCTAGCTTTGGTTTGTATCCAATTGTGAAATGGCCAACTAGAGTTACCTCACATTCATCTACTATTATCGACCAAATTTTTACTAACGTGAATGATACAGTCGTTTGTGTAGTTGACAATGATATTTCAGACCATAAAACGGTACTCCTTCAGATAGCTGAGACAGAAGTGCCTCGTTCGAAATCTTTCCAAAGAAGGAGAAGTTTCAATAATAACTCTGTGGAACAATTTTGTGAAGCACTCAAATGCGAATCATGGAAAGATGTTACCGAAGCTTGTACAGTAGATGAAGCATTTGAATACTTCTGCGATACATTTTTTCATCACTTCAATGTATTTTTTCCCATGAAAAAATATTGGGATAATGGTAATTCATACGACAAGAATTGGGTAACCGATGAAGTGAAATTATCGAGTAGAAATTTGAAAGATCTTCATATTTTGAAAAATAAGTATCCTGAAACCCTAACAGAAGTTTACAAAAGGGCTAAACAGAAACATGTTACATTATTAAGAAACTCAAAAAAAACATTTTATCAGAAACGAATTACAGATTCCTCTAATCCTAGTAGAACAGCATGGAAAGTGATATCCGAACTCTCAAATAGGAAGGGAATCACAAAAAATATTCAAATAATGAAAGACGACACTTTACAAGAAAACCCAGGTGTTTTATCAAATTTATTCAATAATTTTTTCATCGATTCCCCTTCAGGAATTATCAACAAAATAAAAGTAGACGGTGAACTCAACTACCGTCACATAGATACAAATCCGCATTCCATTTTCTTAGAACCTTTTATACCAGAAGAATTACTTGCTTTGCTCAGCAACAAAATGAAAAATAAATACTCATCCGGCCCTGATGAAGTTCCATTATTTCTCATCAAAAAATCTCTTTCCTTCATTATAATTCCAGTGACCTTTCTTGTCAACCTGTCATTTCTGACTGGGTCATTTCCGAAAATTTTGAAAATCGGTAAAGTTATCCCAATTTTTAAAAAGCAGGATTCAGAAAAATTGGAGAACTATAGGCCGATTACAATGAGTTCGGGTTTTTCGAAGATTTTTGAGTACTCTTACTTAGATAGGCTACTGAAATTCTTAGAAAAACATCGAATATTCTCAGATAAACAACATGGTTTTCGCACAAACAAATCCACAAACACTGCAATAGTTTCATTTATTGAAACAGTAACAATGTTTTTGGAATCAGGAGAATGTCCTATTGGCATATTCTGCGACCTCAGTAGGGCATTCGACTGTGTCAATCAATATCAACTCATGTCAAAGCTCTATTCGTATGGTATACGAGGTGTTGCCTACGACTGGGCCCTATCTTTCCTGATGAATAGGCAACAGTTTGTTTGCTTGAAATATCATAGTGAGTCTACCACTACTACTTTTGATTCTGAACGCTTGGACGTCACGATGGGTGTACCACAAGGATCTGTGCTAGGGCCAATTTTATTCCTTCTTTATATAAATGACATCGATAACCTCATTACAGATTCTTTCATAACGATGTATGCTGATGACACATCCCTGGTGGTATCTAATAAATTAGATCACCTTCTGTTTGAGAAGTGTGAAAGTACTCTGAAGTCAGTTGTAAATTGGTGTGGAACCAATTCATTGTACCTCAATGCTGACAAAACACAGCTGGTGAGATTCCACAATCGTCAAAGACTGTGCGAAGAAGTACAAATTCAAATAAACGATCAAATACTCAACAGTTCAGATTATACAACATTTCTAGGAATCACCATGGATGCTTGTCTAAATTGGAAAAAACACTGCACCCTCGTGATGAACAAACTGAATTCATTGTGTTACCTTTTCAGAAACCTCAGAAACATTTTGACAGAACAACAATTATTATCATTATATCATGCTCAAGTTGCGTCAAGGTTGAGATATGGTATATGTGTGTGGGGTAACTCTACACTAGCATCAGATGTATTTATTGTACAAAAAAGAAATATCCGTATAGTAGCAGGAGTTCCTAGTTCATTTTCGTGTAGAAGTTTATTTCGAAAATTCAGAATTTTAACCCTATCTTGTATATATATTTATGAATTGTCAATCTACGTTTTCAAAAACAAGCATAGATTTCCTTCAAATGAAAGTATACACAATGTGAACACAAGACGAAAACGTGATCTGCATGTTCCGTTTCGTCAATATAAAACAACTTTAAACTGTCCATCAGTGGTAGGTCTTACTATTTTCAATAAGCTCCCTAGGTGTTTGAAAGATACAACGAAGCTCAATAAATTCAGTAACTTGCTGAAGAATTATTTGATTGAAAAATGTTTTTATAATTTACAAGAATTTTATGATTCATAAAATGTAAGTGTATTTGTGCTGTATTCTATTTTATTTTTTCTTGTTACCATTTTGTAAACAACGGTGTTGCTCACATTGTGGACTGTATTTTATGGCTTTAGGTGTACTTTGACGATTCCAATACATGTTATCTGTGTCTAATGGAAAATAAATATTATTATTATTATTATTATTATTATTATTAGTGTAATAAAGTTTTTATTGCACTCATCTGTCATTCTACTTCAACGTGCTATCATCATGACAAACATTTTCCATATTGCAACTGTGGTTATAGAAACGTCAGTCAAAAATAATTCTGATAATTAACAGAATAATTGTACCTAGTGCCGCACCTTAATAAATCATTTTTTGCTTTTTGCCTAACGGCCTCGTCGGACAATTTCACGTCGAGTGCAATAAACATTCACTTTTTGCACTTGTTGCATGAATAATTATCAAGTTTTGATGTCAAATAAATGTCAAGATCTTGAAAGAACAGGTACTTTTAGACAAATTGCCTTTGATTAACGTTATACAAATTATTTTGAATGTTATTCTTCCTTCTTCCATCATTTTTTCCACTTTCAAGATTGAAACTAGTCGTGTGATATGAATTTTCGGGAAACATTGAAGTTTTCTCATTTACCTATCCACGGTGAAAGTGAATTCAATGTCCGTTCCCTTCAGCTGATGTGCATTTATATGGAACAATTACAAGGAAACGAGCGAAAAAATCATATTCCTAGTCGTTTTTCATATTTGAAATGTATCATTGAAGTACATCTTGATAAATGATTTGTCCAATAATGAAAACAGATGGTCAAATAGTTATAAGACAAAAAGAAAAAGAAGGTGAAATTGAGAACATCTTCGTGAAATATCTCGATAGATAGTGATTTTCAAAAATGCGAAAATCCAATATGGCGCCGATGAGAAAGAACAAAATTGAGTGTGAACTCATCAAGAACGTCATGGCAAATACGATGACAGATTCAGATTACTTGTGAGGAAGTGCCTTAAGAATGTCCTAGTCAGGGTCTATAGGTCTTTTGATTTTCGCTCGAAAAATCAGAAACGAAAATTAAAAATTTACGTTTTCTTCAAATAATTCAAGAACTGAGAATGACACATCGAATTTTCTTGCAGATAAATGATCAGCATGAAAATGCGCAAGTTTTCCCTGATTCAACCGACCTCGTATGTCTTCTAATAACAGCGGACACCCTGTATAGAAAGAAATACATTGAAAATTTGCATTCTCTATGTGATGAAAATATCAATTCTTTCTTGGTTTATTCAACAGAAAACAACTACTTTCCTGGCAATATACCACGACGAATATTGAATTACATCTATTGAACACACACGATGAGAATTTGAAAACAAAATCTTCGGAATATTCAACAGAAAACAACTACTTTTTTTGGCAATCAAGGGGTTCAAACTCGAACGATGGAAACTTGTTATTTTATAGACGTCAATCGCAGATTCGTGATTAGGTTTTCTCAATTCAGAATTTCTTTCCACGTCCTGTATGATGAATATCAATTCATCATACATCCAAGAACAAATGCCCAGAGGACAGGAGTATGCCAACAAATCATAATTCTCAGATGTCAGTTTGTTATAGTTTTAGTAATATTATAGGAAGATGAAAATTGTGTATATCATGAAGGATGGCTGAAAAAATCGCTGGACTTCAGATTACTGATGAGGATACCATATCCGAAATGAGTTTTACTCGAGTTAATTCATATAACCTGTTTGTGAGAGATATAATTCCCATATCACTGATACGAATGATTTTTTTGAAAGTTCCAAGCTCATCAAGATCATTCAATATGGGCAGTGGGAATATATTGAGAGTTGGCCTGATGGGAATTCAATGAATTGGGGCATAGTGTGAATATATGGCAACCAAATTGTCATACTCAGTAAAATGATATTTCTTTCGTTTTTTCAGGCCATTGGTCACGTCAGTGGTTGCCACATCAATCCAGCTATAACAGTCAGCTTCTTCGTCACAGGAAACATCAAACTGCTGCGAGCTATTTTCTTCATCGTCGTACAATGTGTGGGAGCCATAGGAGGATCAGCTTTGTTGAAGGTAAGCTATTTTTCATCAAAATAGCTATTCACGATACAAGTATATCGTGAAGATTCATTACCATATGAGATAGGAATTTCGGTAACCCTTCGAATATCGTAGTATATGAATTCACGATATGAATCTAGTACAATATTTTACCAACTATACCACAGTGTCATTCATAAAATCGGCATCATATGGGAAAAACTTTTATTAATGACTTATTTTGAAATTCGAGTTAGACGTTGAGTTTTGCTTCAAAAAAGATGGAAAATGGCCTACTCAAACGGGGTCACGTGACTTTCGCTACATGTCAAAAGTGAAATTTTTTCAAATTAATCGCTGAAAGTAGGCTTATTTGTTAGAATATCGAAAAAGTTTACTTGAAAAAGTTGTTTCTTTTTGAATTTTTTAGATTTCGATATTTTTTAAAAATTTTCGAAATTTCTGTAATCTGTAATATTAAAAAAATTGTTAATTCGATAAAACTACTTCATACCAGTAGTTTCATCATGCTACTAACTTTCAATTACTAATTATTACTAATTATCGACAAAAATATGATTTTCTTCAGAAAATGATAATCTCTGCTTCAAAATTCTGTTGTTTGATGCAAACATAACATCAAAATTCTGTTATGTTTGAATCGAACATTTAGAAACGAAATTCATTTGAATTTATTTTTCCAGTACTGAAAAGATCAGTTTAAATGAATTTTGTTTCTAAATGCTTGACGATATATCAACTTTGCATCAAACATATAACAGAATTTGGAAGCGAGTATTATCATTTTCTGAAGAAAATCATATTTCTGTCCATAATCAGTGATAATAAGTGATTGAAAATAAGTAGCATGAAAAAGCTACTGCATGGTATGAAGTAGTTTCGTGGAATGAACAATTCTACAAATATTACAGAAATTTCGAAAAATAAAAAAAAAATCAAAATCTAAAAGTTACAATAGAAAGATCAAATTCGAGAAGCATGTGTAAAATTGAAATAGAAACATTTTTTTCAAGTAAACTTTTTCGATTTTCGAACAAATAAGCCTACTCTCAGCGGTTAATTTGAAAAAATGTCACTTTAAACATGTCACGTGACCCTGATTGAGTAGACCATTTTTCATCTTTTTTGAAGCAAAACTCAACGTCCAACTCGCATTCCAAAATTAGTTAATGATAAAAGTTTTTCCCATATGATGCCGACTTTATGAATGACACTGTATATTAGTGTATATGTCAATTTATTACTCATTTTGTAAAATCAATCTGAACAGAGCGTACCGAAATATTCAATTTATATAGGTAATTATAATGATAACATATGCGTGTCAAAATATTTTTCAGTATGTTATGAAAAGTTCCAGTAGATCAGTAACGTAACATGTGATTCTTTGTAGAGATCGACAAAAAATATTTTTTCGATTCATAATAAATAATATGTATATAATAAAAATACTGACGAGATTATGATGATGATACATCGCCAGAGATGGAGGAAAAAGCTGCAAAAGTTAGATTTGTTACCGGAAATTTCGAGAAAAAAGTATGAATTGACATATATGAAAAATGTATGGAATATAGAATACAAAGATATTCTTTTTCGGAAAGTGTACTTTCTTGGTATACTTTGAGAAACTAGAGAAGGCGTCTACTCTTTCGTCACAATATTCAATTTCGCGAAGTGCCACATTATAAAATGAATACCAATACGTTACATTACGTGTATTCTTTAAATTTGCGCAGTTGTAGAAGAAGTATAGTATAGTAACAGTTGCTCTTTCTCCAGTTGTTCCACAATATACTATTTACACACTAGTGCGGGAAAGTAAATTTGTTCAGTTTCTGTGGAGTATACTGACATTTGAATATTTTATGATATTAAATGTTTTTTCATGTTAACTTTTGAGATTTTCCACACGCTAGTTAAAAAAATAGTGTACCTAACACGTGCCTAAAGTGCCTACTATTGTGGAAATCTTATCGTTTGTGAAGGTTTTCACGATTAGGTACTATCGGTTTTCTTCAAACTAACGGCCAAGTCGATTAAATAAAATCACACTGAATATATGCATTTTAAAAACTTATACAGGGTTATTATAACAAAAGCCAAGTAATTGTACCATTAAAAGTAAGCTCCAAAGCATACAAAAAGTTTATATGAACTTTCTTCTTTTATTTCTGTGAGTATACTATCTCCTATATCAAATCCACCCGAACGGAATGTGAAACACACTGTATTTAATCCTCTTGTGAATTTACCTCCCTTTTCAACTGGAATTGAATTATTGAACCATGTTGATACATTGGGTTCAAAATCTTTAGTTCACCCGTTGAGAATTATCGTGTTTTTACACTTGATATTATGATTCTCATCAAATTTGATTGGAGCTCTGAATAACTAATTGAACCATAATGAGTGTCATTTCGATATATATGTATAAGTAACTATTCACTCATTGAAATATCTGAACTAGGCAAGTAATTTACATCCTGTATATTTGAACAATCAGACAAGATTGATTTATACTACGATCATAAAAGTATCAGGCTCCTCTATATCACTCAACCCTGTTCTACTTAACATGCAAGCAATCACATTAAACAATATTTCAAGTCTAATCAAGGTCATTGTCTCAAATGTGGAACGTGTGAAGAAGGATTAGTAAAATAGACCAGATATTCAGTTTAGTTTTTTCGATATGTTCATTTTCGAGGTCAAAGATTACGAAATGTAATTGGATATGATTTAATACGATGACCAAAAGAACGGTCGGAACTTTTTGTACCTTCTAGATAGGACGGGGTACGTATTTTTTATTGAACTGTAAATTAAGATATTCATACTCTGTTCATACGCAAAAATTTTATCCTAAGGTATTCTAGTGTGGTTTCAGGTAGGTATACATTGTTGTCCTGAATAACGGCGAGCAGTGTATATTACTGACAATTATTCCATTTGGTCATTCAGTGTCTCTTCGGTATTATCTCGCTACCTTGATACTAGAAGAGCCAGCTGCAGCTTTCTACCGTCATCTGATAACGAAATGATATTGGTCACAAAGGGAAATATCCGAGGAAATATCACTGTATTGCATCGAACGGCACCTGTGTCAATCACTATCCTGAGCAAAATGATAAAAAAATTGCACTTTGCTGTGCGGAAATTTGCACTCGATTTGATAACAAAAATCTAGTGTACTCTTTGCGAATATCCAAACGTGCCGCGATTCAACAGATCTAGGTAAATGGCTGCGCGACAATATTTCCGTGAATATTTCGCACTCGTCGATAGATAAAATCCGATGGACCAGTGTGAAACTCATGTGGTGCTCACACTACAAGTATTCTAATCAACATGTTGAGTTTTACACTGGTCCATCGGATATTATCTTTATAGGGGGGCGAAATATTCTGGGAAGTATTGACGTTCTGTCACTAATGCAGAACAGTTTGAATCGGAGTACGTTTGGATATTCGCAAAGAAGATATCAGCCCTTCTTACTCGCTGAAACTGAATATGCAGGCTTAAAAAAATCTACTTTTAAGCCTGTTACGTCGATTGATTAACTTCAACTTGTGTAATTTGGCAAGGTGGGCGTCAAACTGACGAACCTAGCCAACGATAACTGAAAAGTGAAAAATAAATTGAGAGTAAAAAAAACTATTTCAAAAATAGATTTTATTCAAACGTTCTAAATACAAGAGAATGAAATCTTTTTCGCAAATTCCAACTATCAACTTATAACCTCATTATACACAATTTATATGATCAAAAAAGCTTCTCGCGATGATCAATATTTTATTTACTTGGAATTCAGAAAATTCAAAGCTAGCGACGATTTACTTCTGTGATTAATTTAATTATGTAAAATCTGGTAGGTTTACATTTTTAAGATTGAAATTCAATAATGAAATATGCAGTTACAGTAGGTTTTCGATCTGAAAATGAAATATTCTGTACAAACCCAGGATTTCCAATTGCGTACTCTGAATTTGCCACCTGCAGCTCATAGAAAATGAAATTTTGCTCATGTTTTCTGTGTTCGATACATCAATGAGACACTTTTTTTCGTATCTGTTGTCAGAATGACTCCATTGTGTTATCAGTTCAGGAAATTTCTATCGCCCAGGGAATGTCAAATTCCAAGCAATGACAGTTCTGTCTAATAGATGAGCATTACTTGAAGGAAATCAGACGAAGAAATAAAAAATGTCGCTGCTATTTCTCACAGCCGCAGAAAAATTATTAGTCTAAGATCCGAACCTAAATCGACCTTCACCGAGCTGATAATAGAACGAAATATATTTTATCATGAATTTAGTATATTAGAAAACATATTAAAAATGGGTTCGCTAAAAAAATCCTGGGCAGACTATTTTTAATTATTTTTCGAAAAATGATTTTTAATTAAATGTTGCAACATCAGGATAATAAAAAAAGTTTGTCCTGACTGAAAGTATGAAACGTATAGAATGTGCAGCCGTTGGGTTGTCTACTATTTACCTGGGCGAACTACTGGGTTGTCAGGTAAACACAGGTATATCGATGCCAGTTACTTTCACTGGATTGGATAATAAAAAAAAATGTATATCATCATAAGCGCTGTTTGATTGCGAACACGTTGATATAGGGTTGTCTGCGAAAATTCCGGTCCTATTAGGGGTTTGCGAATTTTAAAGATTTTAATTTCAACGCGCGTGGAAGTGTGTGACAGAGAGATCCGAGGTAAGTATACTGTGTAATAATAAAGGACCCAACATCGCAGTATTTATACTGTTTTTTAATAAAATCCATCTTTTTTGTTATTTCTTAATTTAAATTTTTGGCGGTCCACTTTGTTTCTATTTCCAGAAAGAGCAAAAAAGTTTCAAAGTAAGTAATTGATATTTTTATTGTCTATTATAGATTATAGATATATTATTATGGTTATAACGCAATATATTGATATTATATTGTTTTTATATATTAGTATTATATTAAAGTAGAGGTACCTCTACCCTCCATAGTTTACACACCGAGCATGCGCACTTTCTACTATTCAGGGTCCCATCGACTGCGATGTTGGGTCCTTTATTATTACACAGTATACTAACCTCGGATCTCTCTGTCACACACTTCCACGCGCGTTGAAATTAAAATCTTTAAAATTCGCAAACCCCTAATAGGACCGGAATTTTCGCAGACAACCCTATATCAATGTGTTCGCAATTAAACAGCGCTTATGATGATATACATTTTTTTTAATTATCCAATCCAGTGAAAGTAACTGGCATCGATATACCTGTGTTTACCTGACAACCCAGTAGTTCGCCCAGGTAAATAGTAGACAACCCAACGGCTGCACATTCTATACTTATACTTTCAGTCAGGACAAAATTTTTTTATTATCCTGATGTTGCAACATTTAATTAAAAATCATTTTTCGAAAAATAATTAAAAATAGTCTGCCCAGGATTTTTTTAGCGAACCCATTTTTAATATGTTTTCTAATATACTAAATTCATGATAAAATATATTTCGTTCTATTATCAGCTCGGTGAAGGTCGATTTAGGTTCGGATCTTCTACTATATAGTTTATAACTCGCACGCAATGTTAATTTCCCACTCGGATTATTGCAAACTTCATTCCCGTGGAAAATCACTATCATTCCGTGCTTGTTATACAACATACTATTGTTTCATCCCAGTTGAATATTTTTTAATTTGATGTTCGGATTTCCTACTTCAAACTAGGAATTTCCAACTTCAGAAACATGAAATGTATTCTAATGTGTAGTTGGAATTTCCAAGTTTGTAAATGAAATAAAATTATAATTTCATTCCAAACTATAGGAACTTCAAACTGCAAACCCGAACTTTCCGACTGATAATCAATTTCCGAATTTTGAGTTGAAAATATAAAATATAAAATTCACTCACTGCCCCCCCAATATTTTTTCCAGTCCATCCCTGCAACAACTGATCACATTTTTGAATTGACTTGGCCGTTACTTGATGGAAATCCATGGCAAATGTAAAAACTTCTCAAACGATAAGATTTCCACAAAATTCTCAAACACACGACATGTTTCGCTAACACAGTAGCTTCGTCAGGTGATATACTGGTACAATGTACAATGAACTAAACTTACCTTGGCTTTGATGCTTAACTGTTATATATCCTTCTTTCCCAACCGGAAGGATTAGGTTCCTGTGGACAGGTTCGATTAACCTTCATTCTCGGAAATTAGGCACAAAATCTACATTTAAATGCCAAGCCAAAGACAATAATCTCACTGAGCTTAGGTATATACGCGACGGTGTTTCAGGCAGAAATTATTGCAATACATCATTGCGTGAAAGAATTGATAAGGCAAGAGTTTAAAGGCAAAACCATTGCAATTTATTCAGATAGCCAGGCGGCCATCAAAGCAGTCAAATCTAAGCAAGTTAACTCAAAACTAGTATGGGACTGCATAGAAACCCTAAATGAACTGGGAAGTCAGAACAAACTGACTCTAGCATGGGTACCAGCACATACAGGGTACGAGGGCAATGAAGAGGCATACTCACTTGCCCGTGCAGGAGCAAACAAACTCTGAATGGCCCAGAACCCTTCTGTGGTATTGCGAAAGCTATATAAAAGAGTAGTATCAAATCATGGATGCAAACCAAATCTCAAGAATGGTGGAACAACTCGCCAGGTATGAGACAGGTGAAAGAGTTAATTAGAAAAACATCGCCAACATTCACAGAATATCTACTGAGCCAGAAACGAAGTTCAACTAGAATACTAGTGGGACTTCTCACAGGGCATTATGGGCTCAACAAACACATGAGTACGATAGGTCTGACTGAAGAACTGCTGTGCAGGTTCTGTCAGGAAGAAGAGGAAACAGCAGTACACATACTTTGCCACTGTGAGGGCTTGTCAAGACTAAAGTTCCTTACGCTGGGTGAGGAAAAACCAGGAGCCCAAAGATACACAGGGGATCTGAAAGCTAGCCTATGGAGTCTCATAGAGAAGGCGGGACTAGCCGAAGAACTCTGATCGATTTTGAGGGCAGACACAATAGATCTGAAAAGGTCGCGGTGTGGAGGCAGATAGCCCGAAGGCCCCATACTAAATATAATGTAAATCTACATCAAAATACGGTGTACAGGATTAACTTGAAAGGGTTTATAGCAAATACATATTATTACCTACTAAGAAAACAAATTCAACAGTGGTGAGGTCTAATTGATCGTTAAGTAAAATGAAAAACATTTTTGAGTTTGTTGATTTCTAATGATTCAAAATGATTGAGGTTCATTCCTTCATTTTCTACGTGTAGAATTTCGTTTCATTAGAAAAAAACATAGTTTTGATGATGTTTTCGAAATTTTACACGTAGAGAATAAAGGAATAGAACTCAATCATTTTGAATCATTATGAATCAACGAACTAAAAATTTTTTTAACGATCAATTATACCTCAATAGTTCACCACTGTTGAATTTCTTCTCTTAGTCCATTTACTATCAACTCTTTCAGGTTAATACGGTACACCGTATTTCAATGTAGCTATTGTGCCTAATTTTCGAAAAGGAAGGTTTATCGTTTTTACATTCGATCACATTCTGTCGATTTTGTTTCAGTTGATCACCCCCGAAGAGAAATCCGGCAATTTGGGATTGACAGTCGTCAGCGAGAACGTCACCCCAGTCCAGGCCATGCTGATCGAAGCCCTCTTGACGTTCCTGCTCGTGTTCCTAGTCCAGAGCGTTTGCGACTCACGCCGAGAAGACATCCATGGATCTGCACCACTAGCTATCGGCTTGGCTGTTACAGCCGCTCATTTGACAGGTGTAAGTACCCAAGCGTCTCGCTAGACCAGCGAATCTTTCAAACCTCAAGGTCAGAAATCTGTTTTTGGAGTACCTTGTTTACAAAATCGATGGGGTTTCTCCTGAGCAGGATATAGATCTAATATACAGGGTGTTTCTTAAGTACGTGTTTCAGAGCATCGGCTGGGGATAGTCCTGCACGATTCGCTGTTGCGTTCCAATTAACAGTGCTGCTCCTAAAGTGGCGCATGGAGTTAGTAACAAAGCCTACACAGAACACGCAGAAAGATATGATGATGTGGTTGTGAGCATCAGAGAAGAAGTAGGACGGTAAATGTAGGTGGGTTTGGAAAACCCGCACAAAAAATTCATGACTGTTCAAAAGACTCAAAAGACATGTAGGTTGCGCCATCCTCACGAAAGAGACAAACTAACATGAAATTTGATATTGTCATTGAAAAATACCCCTAGAAATCAAACTTTATCCTAATATCACAATTATTTTGAAATATATTAACAAAAAACAAAAATAAGTATTCAACTTTAACACTCTGTATCTCAGACACGAATAACTTTCGGACATATTATATTTATACGTACTTTTCTTCTTATTTTGACGTCAGCAACATGCTCCTGAATTTTCTACACGTACTTAAGAAACACCCTGTATAAAATTATCCTGACCCGGTCACGGTGTTAGTGGTCGAACTCCTCCGAAACGGCTCGACCGATTCGTGTGAAATTCTTTGTGTCTATTCGGAAGGCATGAGAATCGGTCCGAATCTATTATTTAAATCGAAAATTCAAGATGGCGGATCCAATATGGCGGACGAGTATTGTTATCCGATTTCATTCAAAATTGGTATTTGGGAGTTTTCGGGAACGGAGATTATATGATTCTTCCGTCAAATTTTGGAAATTCGTGATGACGGATCCATTATGGTGTACGAGTTTTGTATTTATGGTCGGATTCCATTCAAAATTGGTATCTGTGAGTTTTCGAGGTCGGAGATTATAATTTCTTCATCAAAATTAGGCAATTCAGAATGGCTGATCCAATATGGCGGACGAGTTTTGTAGTTATGGTCAGATTCCATTGAAAATTGGTATCTGAGGATTTTAGGGGTCGGAGATTATGGTTCGTTCGTCAAAATTTGGAAATTCAGAATGGTGGAAGAGTTTTGTAATAATGGTCAGATTCTATTCAAAATTGGTATCTGGTGGTTTAAGAGGTCGAAGATATGAATCATTTGTCTAAATGGAGAAATTCAAAATGGCGGATTCAATATGGCGGACGAGTTTTGTAATCATGGTCAGATTCTATTCTTAATTGGTATCGGGTGGTTCTCGGGGTTGGAGATAATGATTCTTCTGTCAAAATTTGGAAATTCAAGGTGGCTTATCCAATATGGCGGACAAGTTTTGTAACTTTCCACGGGAAATGTTCCTTAGAAATATCTGCTATCATTCTATCACTAGGAATACCCAGTCAGCACGTTTTCATTCCGATGTTCGACAGTTTTCAAGGTTAACGACAAAGGCATGTGCTGACTGGGCCTGTCGAGTTCGTCTGACTGGTATTGCTAGTGATGGAATTATTGCAGATTCCTGGAAAATTCCACTCCGCTTTCAGCAGACATGGACTTTTACGAGAGATTCATAACAAACTGCATAGGAAGCTTGAACATTCAAGCTTTTTGAAAAGTTCACCTTATCACCCCACGTATCTATAAATTTCCTTTCCCCTGTTTCTCGAGATCTCTGTACTATTCGTATCACAGTATTCTGGCTACTAAAAGACCCTCATGACTTCGATCTTCAGAACAAAGAACAGTTAGATCTGGGCACAGAATGTGATCTGGGGGAGTCTTCAATCTATGAGATTCTAGTGATTCACAAAGTATAAAAACTTCCATCCGTATAAATTCAAACATGCCAGTACTTTTTTTGGTTTGAGTCTATACAGCAACTGGACATCGACCTCAGGACTGGCTTTGTGTATAGGCTTTAAAACTTGACCCCACGTTATGAACAGAACTGATTCGTACGGAACTATCTCCGGCTGAGGGTTCGCAAAGTTGATTGAATAAATGAAAGTAAAAGGAACGAAATAATTAGTCTGACATTTTTCAGATACAATACACTGGATCTAGCATAAACCCTGCAAGGACTTTCGGACCTGCCGTAATTGGAAATTCATGGGAACATCATTGGGTAAGCATTCGATAATAATATACAATATTCAGCACATGTTCTTGACAAAAGACATTTCGTTATGTCACCAATTTCCGATCGAATTAGATAGATATTGTTCGACATGAAGAAAACACATCACTTTTATTCAGGTATAGATATCAGGTTACATTGTTTACTTATATAACATGTCAAGTAAAATAATTGGAGAATAACATCGTGAGATTCCGAGAAACCTGACTGGCTGCACTGTACCGATTGTCGAGTTTCTAGATTTTTCATTTCGTATCTTTCCAAATCATTACTACACCTTTTTCCATTTTTATTCAAAAATTGTCAAATGTATTTTCAAATTGTCATTCGGATTTCAAAAAGCATCATTTGTATTTCAAATTGGTCAATTCAATTTCGAAAAGTACCAAATGTATTTCAAAATTATCAATTCAATTTCAAAATGCTCCAATTATATGCCAAATTAGTCATTTTAATTTCAAAAAACATCAATTGTTCATCAAATTTATCAAATTAATATCAAAAACTAACACTTCAAATTTCAAATTCGAATTTCAAATCTGAAAACGCACCGACGAAGGTTAAAAAGGCGTTATTGGAACGCTTCTGGCTTCTGGTTTATGTCATTGTGGCATCATCCATAAAAATGCTTTGTTTTGAAATTGAAATGATGAATTTTGAAATTGAAATGGAATATTTTGAAATAGAAATGGAAATTTTTTAAATTGAAATGACTCATTTGAGAAACAATTGACGCATTTTGAAATTGAATTGATAATCTTGGAATACATTTGATTCTTTTTGAAATTGAATTGAGTTATTTGTAATACAATTGATACTTTTTGAAATCAACTTGACGCTTTCTGAACTAAAATTGGAAAAGGTGTAGAAAAAAAAATCTCAGAAAACAATCATTTCACTTGGTTTTTTGGAATTTTCTCTCCTCGTTCCTATAGAATAAAAATATGCGTATTATTTCAGTATATTTGTAGTGGGACAAATCAGAAAACGAATATTTCAATTATGTTAGAATTGGAACTGAACTACCCCTTTGCCAATTTTAGCTAAAAAATGGTCAATTGTATTTCCAAATTGTCATATGGATTTCAAAAAGCATAATTTGTGTTTCGTATCAGTCATTCTAAAATGATCAAGATACATTGATTCAAAAACTAACTCTTCAAATTCCAAAATAGTCATTCGTATTTCCAAGAATCTCGAATGAATTTCGTAATGCATCATTTGAATTTTGAAACTGAAGAAGCAAACAGGCAAAGGTTAGACGGGTGTTCATCAACATCATCAATTGAACGATATAAATCATTAGTTTTGAAATTGAAATGAAGGATTTTGATATTGAAATTGAATTCAATGAATTCAAAGTGAATAATTTGAGATTCAATTGATGCATTTTGAAATTGAATTGATGAATTTGAAAAACATTTGATACTTCTTGAAAATGAAATATCTCATTTGAAACAGACGTGACGCATTTTGAAACAGAATTGATAATTTTGTAATACATTTGATACTTTTTGAAATTCAAGGTTTGAAATACAATTGATACTTTTTGAAATCAACTTGACGCTTTTTGAACTAAAATTGGATAAGGTGTAGTTTCGAGATTGTTTTTTTTTTCAGGTTTATTGGGTAGGACCAATCCTTGGTGGGATCGTGGCTGGCCTTGTATACAAGCTGTTCTTCAGGGTACGCAAAGAAGAATCCGAATCATATAATTTTTAGCTTTAATAATGTGAGATTAGTTTGAGGATCAATAACTTTCGACTCATGGGCAAACTACAAAGACTCAACGAGTTTTGTGTTGATCCAATGAAAAAAAATTACACTTATACCAAAATGTCAATGGAATCAACTTATTTGCCCATCAATCAATATTGTTATCCACGACTATTACTGTTTAATTGAAGTTATTTCTCTCGACTTCCGATGAAGTGATTTTGTTTTTATGTTGTTCGTGTATGTGTTGTGTTGAATAACTAGCTTTAAATATTTGTAATACTTATAGAAATATTAACCCGAATTGAAGAGGAAATATACTTAGTATTGTTATCAGCTCTTTGTTTGATTTAGTACGCACTAAACTGTCTATTACCAGAGGGTTTTTCTGAAGTACCATGTATACAGTGTGATCAAGACAAGGTGACAAAAAAGTTGCACATTCAGAGGATCATTCCAACATACTTCGGAAATTTTCGAATTTGTTAATAGTTTTTCAGTTATATCGAAAAAAGTGACTTTTCACAGTTGTTGTTCCTAAGACATGTCTAAGTTTTCCTTATAGCATCATGAACACCACTTCAAATTGATAGTTTTCATAAAACTATTTTTTTTATGATTACAATAATTGAAAAACCACGAACATTCAACTTTTGCAGAATAGTGAATGATAAAGTAGTTTACCAAACAGGTGCGGAAAACACTTAACGCACGTGTTAGCTAATTTTTCAACACTCTTTTATTAGCTTCACCCGAGGGGTAAATCACGGACTGAAATTGGGTACACTAGACTTCCTTTATTGAAAGAATTCCCGGAATTCCTGGGACTACCCAAGGAATTCCTAGGAATTCCCAAAGACTACCCGGAATTCCTGGGACTACCTAAAGACTACCCGGAATTCCTGGGACTTCCCAAGGAATTCCTAGGAATTCCCAAAGACTACCCGGAATTCCTGGGACTACCTAAAGACTACCCGGAATTCCTGGGACTTCCCAAGGAATTCCTAGGAATTCCCAAAGACTACCTGGAATTCCTGGGACTACCTGAAGAATTCCCAGAGACTACCCGGACTTCCCAAGGAATTCCGGGATTTCCTAAAGATTTATCATACATCCCAAGGAGTTTTCAAAATTTTGCGTAAAAATAGGTAGATTACGAATGCAAATGCAAAAAAAGTCAATCGATAGGTAGGTTGAATTCAAACCCAAGGACGAAACTTGGGCAATGAAAAAACATGTAGGGATTAGTGATAAGTACTCGGATAAGTATCATTAACACTACTGGGTGTTTCTGAATTCAAGTGACAGAAGCCTATACAGGTTTCTTCCTATTTAAATAAAAAATTAGTAGGTATGTATACCATTTACAGATTTTGCAAAAAAGTTCCGGTACACATTGAAGAAAAATCTTTTGCCGATTTGAATGATAATTATTTTAACAGCTCATTGAAGTCTTCTTGAGATATCGTTCGGAACTCTTTAATTTGCCTAGTTATTCAAGAATTGTGTTTACGACAAGTGTTTCACTTTTGTTCACGAAGAATACCATCAGTCGATTTTCCCAATTCATTTCAGATGAAACAGTTGAAAATACAGGGTGGGCCACCAGTAACGCCTCGATCTCTAGAAGGCTAACCACTTATCTTCTTGGAATTCTTCCTCTCTAGGAAGTTGCATGTCAACATAGGCTACCATTTAAAATTATTTCGAAACATACAGGGTGTCCCCAAAAACCATAAAACACTGAAGTTGAACTTTTTTCTAGCGAACACCCTATCCTATATATTATTTTATTTTGAGATTCTCCCTGGTGAGCTGATTTCAACAATCCATCATACTTGGGGTCTAGCAGTTATAATTACTAAAATATAGGGTGTGAAAAATCGAGATTTTACAAGTTCAAGAATTTTTTGTGTCGAAACTATTCATAATTGGTCAAAACGGCTTACATGTCCCTATCTCAACTTTTGATTAACTATCTACTGATATTTAATTGGGACATATACCGGGTGATCAAGATTCTGAATTCTGCACCACCCTGTATTTGTTTCAATTAAATGTCAGTAGATAGTTGATCAGAAGTTGAGATAGGGACATGTGAGCCGTTTTGACCAATTATGAATAGTTTCGACACAAAAAATTCTTGAACTTGGAAAATCTCGATTTCTCACACCCTATATCTCAGTAATTATAACTGCTAGACCCCAAGTATGATGGATTGTTGAAATCAGCTCACAGGGGAGAATCTCAAAATGAAATAATATATAGGGTGTTTGATAGAAAAAAGTTTAACTTCAGTGTTTTATGGTTTTTGGGGACACCCTGTATGTTTCGAAATAATTTTAAATGGTAGCCTATGTTGACATGCAACTTCCTAGAGAGGAAGAATTCCAAGAAGATAAGTGGTTAGCCTTCTAGAGACCGAGGCGTTACTGGTGGCCCACCCTGTATAGTGAAACCAAGATAAGGTAATATAGGGATCTCGGGAACAGGAAAAGAAACGGATTCGGTTAAATGGGAAACAAGTTGCGCATTTTGATGATCATACCAACGGCTTTGGAAAATTTTCACAAATTGTTTTTAGTTTTTCAGTTATACAGGGTGTTCCCTAAGTACGTGTAGAAAGTTCAGGAACATGTTGCTGATGTCAAAATAAGAAAAAAGTTCGTATAAACATATTTCCGAAAGTTATCCGTTTCTGAGATACAGAGTGTCAAAGTTGAATTCTTATTTTTGTTTTTGTTAATAAATTCCAAAATAATTGTGATGATCGAATGAAGTTTGGTAGTTTGTCTCTTTCGTGGGGGTGGCGCTACCTACATGTCTTTTGAATTTTTGAAAAGTCATAACTTTTCTGTTCGTACCTGTATCACGTTTTATAGTAAGAAAATAGATTTCTAGGACATTTTTGTGTGAAAAGTATATTCTTGGTAGAGGTCGATGCGAGCAACTGTTTTCGAGATATTGGGATTTGAAACAATCGATGCATTTGAATTAATTCCATTGGGCTCGTAAGTCGACTCTAAGCAGTTAGAAAAGATACGTCAGTGCATTTTTCTTCTTTCATTCAATATTCTCCTCCATTCAACAATTCAACATTGGAATGTAGCCAAATGATGATTCTTACTTCTTTGCATCCATTTTTTTGGCCATTTTGAACAATTACTTTAATCAATTCCCTCAACTTACTGTTTAAGTATTTATTTGGTCTAAATTACAGTTATTATTATCAGTATTAATAAAAAAAAATTCCTTACCTACTTGATAAATCAATTTTGAATTCCTACTTCTTCGTCATTCCAAATTACTTGCATCGATTATTGAAAATCCCAATAACTCGAAAACTGTTGCTCGCAGAAGAATATGTTTTTTACACGAACGTGTTCTAGAAAACTATTACCCAACTATAGAACGTGATACAGGTACGCACAAAAAAGTTGTGACTTTTCAAAAGACTCAAAAGACATGTAGGTGCCGCCACCCTCACGAAAGAGATGAACTAACATAAAATTTGATATTGTCATCGAAAAATACCCCGAAATACCAAAATTCATTTGAATATCACAATTATTTTGAAATTTATCAACTTAAAACAAAAATGAGAATTCAACTTTGACACTCTGTATCTCAGAAACGAATAACTTTCGGACATATATTTATACGAACTTTTCTTCTTATTTTGACGTCAGCAACATGCTCCTGGATTTTTTACACGTACTTAAGAAACACCTTGTATAAAGAAAGTGAACTTTTGGAATATCTATTTGTTTTTCTACGTTATTATTAGATATATAGAAAACTCTAAGAATACTTTCACATGGCATCTCTTGATGAGATTTAACGTGGTGATATTGATTTCTCCACGCGACGTTTCGTATTCGTAGAGAAATCAACAACTTTTTTTCCAAATACGGCCCTGATTATCTGTTCACAGATTTCGAAAGTTTTTTTTATTCTGAGTTCAAACATGGGGAATTATTACCAATTTTGTAAATTTTCGAAATCCATTGGTATGACCAGGTATGACCCTTGGAATGCGTAATTTTTTTCTCATTTAACCGAATTCGTAACTCTTACCGTTTCCGAGATCCCTCGCGAGACCCTATCATGCTGCGCAATCTCGTGCGCAACCTTATCATGGTCACACTGTTCAACTTTTTTGTTAAGTACCAATATCTATCGAGAAGAAATAGTTTAGAGATTGAAAATGGCAAAGATTTGTTATATTCAAATTGAAAGTAAGAGGAAAAATTCGAGAGATCAGACGACTAAGTTTATGTAAAAAAACAATTAGAAGAGTTGAAATAATTTACTAGGTATTTGAAATGAACATTCTCAGATATATTTATGAACACAAGAAAATGGATATATATATAAAGAAATACATTGAGAATTCGCATTCTCCATGTGATAAAAATATCAATTCAGAATTACTTTCCACGTCCTGTATGATGAATGTCAATTCATCATACATTCAAAAATTACTAGGTATTATTATTTCTCGTGCACAAAACGTCAACCTTCTGTATCTAGGAATCGACAATAAAATGTCAATCAATGAAAATGAAATGAAATGAAGCGAAGGTTGAAATAAAGTAAATGATGATATTTCTCCAATACCTACCTGTATTATTGTATACATCTGTGAATAGGAGAATATTGTATTTTTTCAGCTTTTGTGCAAAAAAACTTCAAAATGTTTCTCGGGATGTTTCTCTATGCCACATGTCTTTAGCAATAAAAGTTTTGGCCCCTATATCAAGATTGTTTATGAAACTAACTCTACAGTTTATAGATCGGCTCATAGTGAGTCGCTAAATTTCATACTTATATTTCTGTGAACTCGTTTGTCCGAATTGCAAAGATATACAGGCTGTCCCTAATATGTATTCACAAAAGAATACTTAATATTCCTCATCAGACCAAAACAATACGAAATATACAAGCAAACTTACTTCAGTACAAAGTTGCTTAGTTTGAGCCTCGGTTAGAGCGCTAGACAAGTA